TCTTTCTTGTGGGCTCTAGTCTGAGGCTGATGCTGGTCTAAATGGTTTAAATGTTAGAATGAATAAACTCCTCAGAGCATACGTTTGGTTTTCACTGCTACACAACTCTGCTACACAACACTGCTACACAACTCACTGCTCTCATGTTGTTACAGACGGTTTCACTTCCCTGTTCAGTGGACTTATGGAGGACCAGCCTGGCGCCGAGAACCTGGTCCTGGAGAGGGAAGAGTTTGAGCCCGCCGTGTTCCAGCTGTGTGCCGACGACCACAAGGTCAGCGCACCAAACACACAAAGACACACAAAAACACACAACGCAGCCTCCAACTGCCACACAGAAACACCACGAACAGGCCTCACGTTCTCCCACATCTACAGGATAAAACCTGAATGTTCTCTGAGATTTAAACTTCAATATTTTCTGGGATTAAAGATGAAATTTTTTATCTTAAATTCCAAATATTTTCTGGCATTAAAACAGAAATCTTACAAGATAAAACTCAAATATTTTCTGAGATTAAAGCTGAAATTTCACAAGATTAAATTTGAATATTAGCTGAGATTCAAACAGTAATTTTAGAGGATAAAACCTGAATATTTGACATTAAAGCTGAAATCTAATCTAATAAACTCACATTTTTACGTCATCGTGGTTTTCTTTAACTCCCAACGATGTCTGATGATCATCTGCTGATTCTGGGCTGAAGACAGAAAACCTGGATTCTCCTGGATGTTAGACAATACAGTTATGTGTAGAATAAATGATTAGACGCTTGTCTTTATCGTTGCTGCTGTTTTTAAACATCTGAACACGATGAACCCTGTAGAACCGATCACGGTCCAGTAGAACGAGAAGTTCAGTGTTTAGTAGAGTTCAGCTGTAGCTACCTGGAAACCACATGTTCTTCTTTTAAAAACATTTCTGTGAATTGCAGAACTTCACCATAAATAACAATTAATAGAAAACAGGAACATTCGGGGAACGTTCCCTGAAGGTTCCTGTTTTCTTGACCTTAATGATGCTGAATTCTGTGAATCAACCGACTCCATCGATCAGTGTTTTGTATATGTTCACACGATATCGCCAGAAGTATTGGCTCACCTGCCTTGAGTCGCACATCAACCTAAGTGACTCCCGTTCCTAATCCAGACGGTCTAATGTGACGGCGCTCCACCCTTTGCAGCTACAACAGCTTCAACTCTTCCTGGAAAGCTGTCCACAAGGTTTAGGAGTGTGTTCATGGGAATTTTTGACCATCCTTCCAGAAGAGCATTTGTGAGGTCCCACGCTGACGTTGGACCAGAATCCTGGCTCTCAGTCTCTAATGACTAGTTGGGACTTCCAGGTACTGATATCCTGAAGGAGCCACTAAGGAGCCTCAAGCAAGTCCAGTTGCTACGATTAATCTACAAGAACAACCATGACCTGGATGACTGAGGATCTTCACAGACATCTGTGCTGAAGACTTGAAGCTGTTGTAGCTGCAAAGGGTGGAGCGCCGTCACATTAGACCCTCTGGATGAGGAACGGGACGTCACTTAGGTTCATGTGCGACTCAAGGCAGGTGAGCCAATACTTCTGGCGATATCGTGTGAATAAGTCTGTGTAAAGATGTGAGACTTCACAGTCTGAAGGTGAAACTCTGCTTCATCAGGTAAAGTGTGTGTAGATACAGAACCAGCTGTTCTGACTTTGTCTAGATGAGTCTGGTTTTGTATGTACTGACCCTGTTGTGTCTGAACATCGACCCGCTGCTTTGAGCTCAGAAATCTGTCTCCTGAAACCAACCATCAGATGTGTCGGGTTTACTGAAGCGACTGTTTTCTGTGCAGGCCATGAGTCTGGCGAAGAAACGGATCACGGATCTGACTGTGTCCGAGCAGGCGGAGAGAACCATCTCCGACCCGTTCATCGGCCTGCTGTCTCCGGCCGACGTGGAGAAGCTGAAGGCCCTGCAGAAGCAGCTGACGGTCAGCATCCGGCTGGACAGACGGCCAGAGGACCAGGAGCCCCACATCCACCTGGAGGGGCTGACCAGGGACGTGCACACCGCCGAGTCCGCCGTCAGGTGGGCACGCAGCCGTCGGACCAGCACCACGCGGTAAGAATGAAACTGAAGGTGTTTGTGTTGTGGCTCCTCAGAGACATCATCCGGAGGGTGGAGAGGGAGGAGAACCTGAAGAGCAAAGCCCTGCTGGTGAGCGGCCTGGTGGAGTGGCAGTTCCAGCACCGCAGTGGACCCATGGTGCCGTTCGACATGAACACCAACCTGAAGCTGGAGGAGGCTCTGGAGAGGAAGCAGACGGTGAAGGTCCAGATCAACAACCAGACGTTCACGGCCAACCCGGCGAAGAGACAAGCGTCCAGCGGCAGCAAAGTGGTGGAGCTGCTGAGGAGAGAGGTGAAAGGTGGGTCGGTCCCGGCCCGGTAGTCTGAATAACGGTGCCAACGCCACACAGTTGATCACAACAAGGAGAACAGTCAGAGTTTCACTGATGTTCTCTGACTGTCACTGAGCCGCTGAGACCAAAACTACTGTTTACAAGAAATAAACCTCATGATGAAAGCAGGAACTCCACAAAATAGAAAACTCAAACATTCTGTGAGATCAGAGCGAAACATTTTAGAAGATGAAACTGTCGTCTTCTCTCAGACTGAAGAGCTAACCTGGAAGATCCAGCTCAGGTCGGCTCAGAGAGTACAGCCCATCTGACAAGAACAAAGCTGAATGTTTCCTAAATGAAAAAGGACAGTTTACAGCTTCAGCCTAATTATTCACTCAGATTAAAACAGAAATACGAGATAAAACCTGAACATGACTGACTGAGTTCTGGGTTCCTTTGATTAGAACACTGAATGTTTTGGGTTCTTGGTCAAACAGAACATCACAAGAATGTTGTGAGAATCAGTTCCATCTGATTATTGGATTATTGAGACAATAATCTGCAGATTCATTGATGATTTAGATCATTAGTGGCGGCTGTGACGACCTGCCACCAGATAACTCCGTAAAGTTGTGAAGAACCAGAGAACCTTCTGAAGAACCACCTTATAAGTCAGGCGCTGCTCGGTTCACGTCTCACCGTCTGAAGACGCTCTCAGCTCGTTCTTATTTGTGTTGCAGATGAAGCCGCTCTGCCGTCGCACTGGGACGACATGAAAGGAGACATCGTGAAGCTGGTGACGGTGGCTCCAGGATCGAAGGAATACGGCGACGTGCAGAAAGAGCTGACAAAGACGGGCCTCGCTCCCAACATCATCAGCGTACGTTCACGCTCTGCTAGATGAACTCTGGGAGCTGCTGTCTCTGCTCCACATGTGAATGAACACATGTTACAGTGTGAGAGCTCAGAGCCCAGGAGGGAGCTCCTCATCCAGTCCTAACGTAGGAGACGAGACGAGATGTGACGAGACACTTTTGATGAGACATGACAAGACACTTGTGACGAGGTGAAGTGTAGCGTGACGAGACGTGACGTGATGAGACACTTGTGAAAAGACGCGACCAGACCAGAAGTGACGTGATGGGATGTGACGACACACAACGATGACTCGTGACCTGACGTGTTCTGTGTGTGCAGGTCGAGCGGGTCCAGAACACGACGCTGTTCCAGAGCTACCAGCTGATGAAGAAGCAGCTGGAGGTGAAGAACAAACACAAGAAGAACGAGCGGCTGCTGTTCCACGGCACCGGGTCCACCTCCATCGACCTCATCAACAAGCAGGGCTTCAACCGCAGCTACGCAGGAGCTCACGGTAACACAACAACAACAACAACAACAACACAACAACAACAACAACAACAACAAGACAGCAGCACAAACGAACGTTAAATCATCTGAGCAGCAGCCAGCATCACAAAGAACTGCACAAAACAAGCACAATGTGTCTCTGTGATATTGTTCAGACGTCGTCCTCCTCAGAACATCTGGTTCTTTATCCGCAGGAACTTCACTTAATGAAGCCGTTTCCTGGAACGTGTCGTGACCTTTGTGATCCCAAATTCTGCGGCTCAACCGACTGCGTTTCACGTTTACAAAAGCGTTCAATGCTAAAACTAAGAGGGTTCAAGACTTTGGCTGCAGTTTAAAGTCGGTTCTGATGAAGTGTGACAGAATCAAACAAAGGCCACAAACACAGAAAGCTGCTGAACCTGATCCTCACGTTCTAAACACGCTGAAGCCTGACAGACAGAACTGAGGGAGAAGTGACTCTAAGGAGTTCTGCCTCAAAACTTCTACAGGAACTCATCTGTGTCATCGTTCATTCACTGTTCTGGATCTGCAGAACCTTCATCCACTGACCAGAGTTCTACCTTCAGACTGTGAATGTTCCAGAGGTCCAGGTCCTTGAAGTCCACAGAGGAGGGTCCAGATTGATCACTTTAATGGACTTTTTCCATCATTTCTGAGCCTCAGAACTTCATCAGTACAGCAGATAGACACATGACATTTAGGAGGAAGAACACATCTGGGTTCTGCTAGAACCTGACACCAGATCAGTTCTACATCCATCCAGGTGTCTCAGTCTGAACACTGGACCTGGTTCTGTTCATGTCCTCTGTAACCAGCTGGTAGCATCAGTATTATGGGATGGATCATAGTATGAACAGTTTAATGTCCACGACACAGAGTCATAGAAACAATCACTGGTACCCTGGATGTGGTTCTGGTTCTGATCAGTCACCAGAGGAAACTTTACAAAGTGCATTCTGGGTAAACTGTCCAGGCTCATGGCAGCATGTGTGATGGTGGTTGGTCAGAACCAGTTCGAGACAATGGAAGGACCGTTTTACCTCCAGAACCTACCAGAACCAGGCAGGACTCACTCTGAGGAAAAATCAGATTCTAGTATCGACATATTTCACAAAATGTGAATGAAGCAGAAAAGATTTTTTCTTCTTGAAGTTCTGCTTTTTAAGGCACAGAACACGTGATTTCCAGGCGACTGCAGTTCAGCTCTGAAACCCTGAACCTCACGTTCTGCTGGACAGAACCAGAATCGGCTCTACTCACGTTTAATCTCAGCTTTTAGCTCAGAGAATATTTGAGTTTTATCTTTTAAACTGTGGACTTCAAGGACCTGGATCTCTGGAATATTCACGGGCTGAAGGCAGAACTCTGACCATTAGATACTTCAGACACAGAACCAGATGTTCTGAGGAGGTTCTGGGGGAGTTTTTCAGGTTTTTTATACAGTATTTAGTGTTTTACTCTAAACACGCTGTCACTCTTGTTCTCGTTGGTTTTACATGTTGTCATATTTGTGTTTGCCGTCGGGCTTCCATCAGAACCCTTCCCGGTGCCGCTCCGGTCCTCTGACACACCTTGTCTTTCAGGTGCCATGTACGGGAACGGCTCGTACTTCGCGGTGAATCCCACCTATTCAGCACAAGGCTACGCCAAACCCGACGTCAGAGGCTACAAGCGCATGTACCAGGCCCGGGTTCTGGTCGGAGACTTCACGCAGGGCCGAGCGGGCCTCCTCAGCCCTCCAGCCAAAAGTTCTGGCAACGCTACGGACCTGTACGACAGCGTCTCCGACAACACCGCCAAACCGACCATGTTCGTCATCTTCAATGACATCCAGGCGTACCCGGAGTACCTGGTCACCTTCACCTGAGTCCATTCATGTTCTGTTCTGTTTCTACTGAACTGTCACACCATATTAAAGTGGAATAATTCACAACATAAACTACTGCTCCTCACTTCCTGTCAAATAAATAATCAAACCAGTTTTTGTTCTTCCTCTCTGGTCGTTCTGAGTCCTGCTGACAGCAGACGTCTGGGTTCTGTCTCCTGCTTCATGTTCTGGTTCCTCAGAGCTGCAGGACTTGATGCTGAAACATGAACCTCAGTGAAGGAACACGAGACGGGAGTAAAGAAAAACGTCCCACAAACAGTTTGGAGTTTAGAGAGTTAAAAAAATGAGCCGTGGTTTTTGAATCCAACACAAAATTAAACAGTCGTTTGTTTTTTGGGTCTTGACGAACAAGAAATGAAGTAAAGTGGCTGCAGACAGAAGGAAGCTGCTGACGGACTGAATCTCAGACCGTCGTGCTTTTCTCTAAACGTTCTGCACATTCAGGCTTGTGTGACATAAACTCTGACTACAAACATGGAGCCGCCGGTCGTCCGTGTTCATCCATCAGTTGCTGAAACATTCATTCGTTCTCAGTATTTAACCCTTCACACGCCGGTTTGTTCACATCGTATCACTGCTGTGCTTCAACAGAAACAACAAAGAGACAAAAACCTCAAAAATTATGTCAAGAAGACGTTAGAAGTTCATGATATTTTCTACCAAAGTATTTTAGTTTTTTCCAGGATTGAAACACTTTAAATGTCACTTTGTTCACATGGACGACTGATGTCCGTTATGAAGAAAAGGAATCGTTCTTATGCTAAATATGCGGTTTAGTCGGGTGGATTTTCCTCTCAGCCTCTCTGGTTGTTTTGTTGTTTGTGTCACACTTCAGTTGCTCCCCAACGTGCACCGAGGTCACCTCAGAAAGAGAGGTTCTGTTTATCTGGAGCAGAACCTCACAGCTGTGTGTTTGGAGACAGATGGACGTCGACACAAAAACATGAAAACTCTGCTTTGACAGGACAGAGAGAAGCTGCTGCATCGCCGCCATCTTGGATGGCACATA